ACCATACATAGACCCAGGGACAGCATCAGGTGCTGGACGATGGGGCTGAGCTGGCCCACATGCCATCACACCAGCTTCAGCAGCAGCGCCCACTCTGGGATTTGCACTACATTAGGTGCCCACTCTGGGACTCGTGCTGCATACAACACCCACTGCTTGTCTGGGATTTGCACTGCATGAAGCTCTCGGATCTGGCCTGGGGAGGCAGGGCTATCCTGTGTGACGAAGAACCCAAACCAGCTGGGGGAGGTGCCATATGTTGCATGGAGCCCGGACCAGCTGAAGCAGGCACCACATGCAGCAAACATCCCAGGGACTGTGCCGCATGAAGCACTACCCATTCTGGGATCACAACACACGAGTCCTGGACTGGGTGCTGCTGGCCTGGATCTGGCATGATGGGGAAGAGGTGGAGCAAGGGGGTGATTCATGAGCCCAATCCAGTCTATGGACCAGCCTGGGGCCAGGCTGGATGAGTCTGACATCTCTTATTTAAACTGATGTGGTTTATGAACTGTGAAATAAAAAAAACTTGATAAAATTTTAAATTATCTTCCATTATTGTCAGGGTAACAACTGAAGTTAATTAGCATCCAAGCATTCTATTGAAACTACACTTTAATTTAAAAAAGTTCTTAAAACAAAACAAAACTAAATACAGGTCAGCAGTGTGCCTTTGTTGCCAAGAAAGTTAACAGCATACTGGGCTGCATTACCAGAAGCACTGTCAGCAGATCAAGGGAAGTAATTATTACCCTCTACTCTACATTGGTGAGGTCATATCTGGAGTATGTGCCCAGTTTTGGGCATCCCACTGCAACAAGGATGTGGACAAGTAGGAGAGAGTCCACTGGAGGGCAATGCAAATGGGTAGGGGCTGGGACACATGACTTCTGAGGAGAGGCTGAGGGAACTGGGCTTATTTAGTATACAAAAGAGAAGACAGAGGGAATTTGATAACAGCCTTTGATTATGTGAAGGGTGGTTCCCCCAAAGAGAATGGAGCTACACTTCTCAATGGTGGAAGATGACAGAACAAGGACCAATGGTCTCAAGTTGAATCAAGGGAAGTTTATGTTGACTATTAGAAAAAACATTCCCACTAGGAGGGTGGTGAAGCACTGAAACAGGTTACCTGGAAAGGTGGTGGAATCGCCATTCTTAAGGGCTTTTAAGGTCTGGCTGGAATGATCTAGTTGGGAATAATCCTGCTTTGAGCAGGAGGTTTGGCCTAGATGACCTCCAAGGTCCCTTCCAACACTAATTTTCTACAATTCTCTGATTCTAAACCAAGGCCAGTCAGTGTCACCTCCATCCTAGGCAAAGTCTTTGAAAAAATTATCAAGTCTCACATTTGCGAGAGCCTGGCTGGAAAAATTATGCTGAGGGGAAACCAGTACGGGTTCGTAGCACGTAGATCATGCCTGACTAATCTAGTATCTTTTTATGACCAGGTTACAAAACACCTGGACGCAGGACTAGGGGTTGACGTCGTTTACTTAGACTTCAGGAAGACCTTCGATACGGTATCCCACCCCATACTGGTGAACAAGTTAAGAGGCTGTGACATGGATGACTACACAGTCCGGTGGGTGGCGAATTGGCTAGAGGGTCGTACCCAGAGAGTCATAGTGGATGGGTCGGTATCAACCTGGAAGGGTGTGGGCAGTGGGGTCCTGCAGGGCTCGGTCCTTGGACCGATACTCTTCAATGTCTTCATCAGTGACTTGGACAAGGGAGTGAAATGTACTCTGTCCAAGTTTGCGGATGACACAAAACT